TTAACTCCAAAGCATGAGTTCATATCCCTAGAACCTCACCTGGGTTCCCACAGGGACTAGTTTCATGAAAAATGGCATTTACATCCTAGCTCACCTTCTGTTCCTTGAGTGGGGAGACCTGGAACCTTACCTCCAGCTGTCTTACTAATTACGGTGCCCCCAAAATGTGGTTCCTTCCCTTTTTATGCATTTGCACCAACAGAGGGTAGTACTTCCCCAAATAGCCCTGGAAAAACCTGGCCAGCAATACATCCAAGTAATACATCTTCAGCAGGGCAAACACAACTAAAAAGTGCAATATTCTAATGTAGAAATAGTACCATAGACATCGACTGAAATCAACAGAACCTTTTAATATAAAACATAAACATGTAACATCCACCTGCTTACAGGCGGTCCCTCTGCATCATCCTGTTCAATGCAGGACTATTAACCCTGCATTGTACATGGGGAAGCTAAGAGTACAACTATTGCCTTGAGTGGTTTAGAGAGGAGGCTGCAGAACCCAGACTGCAGACTGGAGGGACCAGGGGCGGACTGACCATTTGGGAACTCAGGCACTGCTCAGTAGGGGGCCCCATGAGATGCCCCTGGTACATTCATAGGCTTTTTTAGGTGTGGTTGAGTGTGGGTGAGGACATAGGGACCCCATGATCTCCTATTGCTTGGGGGCCCCATGAGTTGTCAGCTGGGAGGGACCCTGCATTCTCCTTATTCCATCACCCCTGGACATAATGAGCATTCTACCCTTGCAGTGCATGGTGGCCCCATTGCAAGGGTATTTTTGTTGTGCCAACTGTTGGGCTGTAAAGTAGATATAAACCCTAACTGAATGACTTTAAGTTTGCTAAAGCATCCTGTATCATAACTGCCATTTAAAAAAAAAATAAAATACTGTTTTCATCTTTGTTTCATCCAATGTTGCATATCAGCACTGCTAATATCCTGCAACCACTACATGTCTACATGCGTATGCATTAGCAACTACTGTACATAATTTCAGTGGACCATGCTTACTCAATGGCACGGCTGATTGTAGTCTCCTTCAAAACAGTGAGTGACAACATAGGAGAGAAATTGGGGGACAGGGAAAGAGTGCTGTCATCCTAGATCAGCAAGTGCCTATATACGGAGCGAAATGGCAGATCACCAGATGCTATTTTAATGAAAGCTGTGCATTTAAAATGATTGAAAATGACTTTTGTACCAATCATTGGATAGATTATATGAGAGTTTGGTTATTAGAATTATATAGTAAATAATGTAGTATATAGTAAATTCACAGTTTGAATTATGTGCATTCACCTGCATATTAGGAAACACCTATTATGAGAGCTCTAACAATTCTGGCTTCCTCACTGTGCCTGGCTTTAGTATTTCTGAGTCATAAACCTGGAATAAGCATGCAGCACAAGTGTCAGAAAATGTCAAATTCCCTAAGTTTATACTTGTTCCATGTTAGTGACTTAGGAATTATTCTAGCCAGAGCATCAACGTGACAGCCAGACAACTAGCATTTTCAGAACGAAAGTCAGAATTGGCAGCCTGTTTCTTTCACGATACTTTTCCATCTATGCAAAAGACTGTTTCCTGCATTACCAATTCACATTCTGGTCATATAGGTCATATTTTAACATAAATTGTATAATATGACATAGATAATACAAAAATCCAGTTATTATAAAGGTGTTGCCCCATAATAAATTGTGAAATTTGTTAAGCCTGCCTTCTTTATTCTGATTAACAATGCATTTAAATATAAACTTTGTTTCCATATTAAATATTGACATTAATATCAAACATTTCAACATGGTCATTTTAATTTTAATGGCTTGTGTAAAATTAATGAAGCCTTTGATGGTTATAGTCAGCAAATAACTCTCGAGGTTGATAAACTTTATGTCTCTTCAGAAAATTAATTTAATCACATTATTTTAATGTAGCATTGGATCAGAAATCCCTTTACAACTAAAAAGTTGTAAGAGTAGTTAGTTATTTCATGGTACATGTCATATGTGAATTAATGGGATAGTGAAGCTTAATTATATCTTGGTTTATGTAAAAAAAAAAGAAAAATTAATATAATTTGTAGGTTTTGTCTTAAAGGAACTGGAGAGATTACCTACTTTCCCTCTGGAGCAATTTTTTCATTTTTCGCAAGCTAAAATGTTAAAATTTGCATTTTTGGCTAGAAAATTGTTTATAACAGCCAAATATTATATATTTTCTGAAAGCAGAGGCCCTCTCCAATAACAAGATGGGGCTTGCAATTTGTTATGTTGCATGATATTTACACAACTGTTTATAAAATCTAAATTTTCAGGAAAAAATACACAAAAATACATTTTAGTGCACACAAAACACAATTTGATCCCTAACGTTTGTACAAAATAAAATATGAGTGTGTCAAGTAAACAGATATTAAATGTATTTTGAAAAAAAAAAACCCACAGTACCAGGAATTATCAGTAGATGATACTTTAAAGTGATTGTAAACCTTGAAGGAATCAGCCTTTCAGCATTACCATACCGCCATTTTGTCCCTTAGCCTAAAAGTAGCCATCTTGTGCTAAGAATTAGTAAAGGCCATCTTGTTTAAATGATAGCTTAAGTTAAGAATTATTTCATATTTGTTAAAACATTGTATATTCTCTGTCTTTAACTTAAAAACTAACTTCCTCTTTCTTTTGTATGTTATCTTTTTTCAAGAAACTCTAAGGTTCCTCTTTTGTCTCATATTCTCAAGAAACCTAAAGAACTTCCTTTTTCTCTTAAACTCCAAGTTCTCTTTTTTCTTCTTATCAGATTAAACTGTAAAGTTAGTGGTTAGGCAGCATCCTGACTATATGTTAAAAATAAATATTTCTTTTTCTTAAGAACTTGGAATTTACATAAGTGTTTAAGAGTTCAAATATGACGTATATCAAAAATGATTGGCCATGACTGACGCATGTAAAACTTGATTGGTTTATGCATATCTGATATTTGATTGGCTTCTATATTTTATGCATTGTTTGAAGTTTCTTATATAAGCTGAAACACGGAAGAATAAATTCAGTTCATTCTGAGATACCACCTTGTGTCTGCGTTTCCTGTGTGTCTCAGAGTGGGCTCCAGGCCTGAGGACAATCACTGGTCAAGCCTGGGACTGATGGGGGTCAGTGTCTTGAGAGGGATGAGAGTCTAATTCCTTTCAAACCTCAGACATGAAATATGAACAAATTACATCCCTCTATAGTGTGTACTTGTCTCAATTAAGAATACTAAGTGTCATTCCTGTCTGTTGCTTCATTCTTCTGCTATCAGCATGAATCCCTTCTGACAAGTTCTCCTGACAGCAAGTGAAAAATGGTGATAGGAGAGTGACATCCAGCATATTGACAGCCTTAGCTGTCCAGTCCTTTTCCTGTGTGCCATGTGGAGGGGGTGTGTCTTTTCTCCACTCAAATCTCAGAGCTCTCCTCAGTGAGCTCTACATTGTGTAACTTAAGCTCCCTGCCCCCTTTTTCTGACCTCTCAGACAAGCTTTATAAATTCAGCACTTTGAACAGATGAAGAGAAGACTGCAGATAGACAGGTACAACTTATGTAGGAGGATTTGTTTTATTTCTGTGTATCACCTGAGGCCAGTCACTTCACTGGGTAAATGTAAGCATTTACAAACATTTTAAATGCCTTTGCAGTTCATCAGTTTACAGTTAACTGTAAATGAGGGACCTAGAAATATTCCCCTCACTCAAGCGTGTGAGGTATTATCTAATATGTGTTGCACAATTGTTTAAATTTACATGTGCTCCTTACATACAGAGCAACTGGGTGCTTTGAACATCTTTTGGTTATTTTTATCTATTTAATTTTAAATTTTTATGGGGGGGGGGGGGGGGGGGGTTGGGGGTGGGGGGGTGGTGGGGGGGGGGGGGGGTGGGGGGGGGGGGGGGGGGTGGGTGGGGGGGGGAACACATTTTAAAAATTGTGATAGTATTGGTTAGGTGATGGGGGGGGGGGGGGGGGGGGGGGGGGGGGGTGGGGGGTTGCAGCTCCTAAGTCACATACAAGTGATTGTGCGGCTGTACAGCAGTCCAAAATTTCTTTCACAGAACAGCCAGGAGCCAGCTGATAAAAACCTCTAGATGCACCAGACATGTCCAAAGAAATGAAGTGGGTGAAGTGTATGGAAACCCTAACAATGAACTTCTCATATTTGTTCCCTTTTGGTCTGTTAAACATACCATTCAAAGCATTTTGTTATATCTATTCAAAAAGTGCAAAGTGTGTTACTGGTAGGGCTACCATGTGAAAATAAAGAAAAAAAAGTCTAAAAAAAAAAAAAAAAAAAAACTAGAGCAGCCACTACAAATAAGGACTGGTAAGCTCAACTATATTCTATTTTAATCTTGAGGAGTAGATATGCTTCAACCTAATGTTTTCTACAACATAATTGACTTTCTACCAAAATAGCCTAATATATTGCAAGTACATTACAGGCACCAACTATATAGCAAAGAACAACTTCAGAATGACTACAATTAACAGAAAAAGGCTAAATCTATGTGACACGTGCAATTTTCAGTAGTTGGCAGGTGTGAGGAATCTTTGTACTGAATTTTACAACAGCATGAGAAAAAGCAACAAAAGAAATGCATTACATGGGACTCTATCCTGAAAATCAATGGAGCAATAATAATAATTTACCTTTATAACGCATTATTGATTTTTTGGATTGAATGTCCACAGTATTCCTAATACTGTACAATGGGTTATGTCTATTGATAACTGACAGTTCTAGTTCATATTGTTCTCATTTTTTTTAAAATAAATGCAACCATGAGCCATACATGTATACAAAACAATTTTTTAATATAGTATATGGCTATATATAAATATACTGTGTATACAGTATACACACACACACTGTATATATATATATATATATATATAATATATAATAAATAATATACACACACACACATATACATACATGCATACATGGCCTTACTTACATTGTCTTTTATATGGCAGATTACTTTGGCATAGCATTTGTTGCTATCTCTGTCTGGAACTGTCCATTCAAGGGGCCAGAAATAACTGTGATAGACCTGCAATAGGAAATAATACAGACTTTCGAAATTCAAATTACACACAAAGTACAAGAAAAGGTAGATCCTATGTCATTTTTGAAAAATATGTCTGTGTGTCTCTGTGCCATGTGTCTCTGTACTATTCAAAGCAGTAGATGGGCCATAAAATCACAAGCTCAGGAGCAGAACTATTGAAACTGTACCTAAAAAAGGCAAGCAGAGGGCAAGGGACTCACCAGTATTGTCTGTGGCTTCCCTGCAGCTGACTTGCTATGCTGTGACCTGCACTGTGTCTCTGTGTGGAGACAGCCATCATGGTAGAGGCAGAGCTTTGCTTCCTCATATCGGAGCCTCCAGTAAGGAGAACACAGCAACTCAGCGATATCAGGAAATCTCACTCCAAATCTGGCGAGACCAGCAATCAGAGGCAGAAGTCTTAGTTCACAGTCCCTTAGATTTACAGCTATGAGGCACAGTTTCTGCTGTGATGGCACATCAAGTTTTGTAAACAACTAAATTCTTTCAGCACAGCTGAGAGTGATACTGCTACATGTGAAAAGGAACCTAGAACTCTATCTACTAGCTGGATAGAAGATTGCATAATGTTATGTATGCAATATTTCATATTTAAGTCAACAAAAAGAATGAATTAGTCTTGACCACAATTCATGTTAAAAACACCATACATTCCCCTTATTAAGCTCTTCAATGACAGTAAGCGAATGGTACCATCAGACTCATGTTTGATTGACTGTGTCTTACCTCTATATTATCCTCCCCATACTTGGCAATAGCATTTTCTTCAGATAACCCACATGCTCCATATTCCAGTGGTGTAAACACAGTAGTTGGGACATTCACATAATCACACTGTTTAAGAGATTGTAAATAAGCACAGTTACTGTCAGCTCTTTTTATTAGTTATTGACATTTCTCTAGAAGGCCTTCACAGCTGCTTAAAGTGATTGTAAAGGCAATTTAAAAAAAAAAAAAAAAAAAACGTGTCATACTTACCTGCTCTGTTTAGTGGTTTTGCACAGAGCAACCCAGGTCTCCCTCTTCTCGGGTCACCCATCGACACTCCTGGCCCCTCCCTCCTGCCAAGTGCCTCCACAGCAAGCAGTTTGCTATGGGGGAACCCAAGCAGCTTGCTGCTGAGCCACTGCTCTGTGTGTCATGCACAGCTGCGGCTAGGCCCTGCACTCTGCTCTCTGCTCTCTCCTCCTTGGCTCACTGGCTGTGATTGATAGTAGCGGGAGTCAATGACTCCAGCTGCTGTCTCAGTCAATGAGGAGAGAGAGACCTGGATCGAGATGGGGTTCAGGTAAGTATTAGGGGGCTGGGGGATCTGCTGCACACAGAAGGTTTTTTACCTTCATGCATTGAATACATAAAGGTACAAAACCTGCAGCCTTTACAACGACTTTATGTATTGTGATATCTCTGTAAACAAAATTCTTGTTTGTGCTAGAATCACCGGACTGGGAGCTGCCCATGGGGACTGGACTTCCTTGAGCCTTAGACACATAATACATAGTTATATTTTAGATTACTTACCTTTGCAGTGGATCCACCATAGAGTCTCTGGGCTAGAAGACGACCTGCTTGGATAGCCACTGGGGTAAGCTCTATTTTGTTTTCTAGTACATCGCCAATAGCATATATATGCGATACAGTTGTCTGCTCCTCATCATTGACTGGGATTTTTCCTGTCCTGTAGGGGATGCATTGGAATTTTTAATAAAAATATTTTTAAAACAACAGTTATAGCAAAACATTACAGGAACGTCTCAACACAATAGTCACATAAAGACAATCCTTCCCAAATTGATTTTTATGTTTTCAACAGACTTGTACAGGCTTTGATCCCGCACCATGCTTTTCAAGGTGACTGAATATCAGCCCCCACTCCACATCATGCTGTGATCAGGACGATGTTTGTCTTGCTGTCATGTGGCAATGTCACTCAGTCCCATGTAACTTACATAACCTCAGGATACCATTTGCTGTTTACTGGCATGTATATAATGTATTTTATTATTAGCTACACAAGTATTTTTGATGGTTTTTGGCATACTTTTCATTGATCTTTACTCCAGGTATATCCAGGCCAATTTTTCTTGTACACGCATCTCTTCCAATTGCAAGTAAGACCTGACAAGTATATATAATATCTCATTATTATTATTGATAAATAGCAGACATTTATCTATAGATACATAGCATAGTATATAAAATGAAAGCATCACATAAAAGATAGGTATAGATTGCACCTCCAATATAAATAAGGAATCCTCACAATTTCTATGATAAGGATATCATTATAAGAAAACTCAGGCTATTTTCTGTAGCAACCAATCTGATCCAAGCTACAGTATCAGTTGGTAAAATTAAAAATAGCTTCTAAGTGGCTTCTGAGTAAAGCAGCCCTATTCCTTTTTTATGAATCATTTGCCATATTAAAAATATTTACTCTAAATAATATACTGTAGAAACGTTAGAACTGATATTTGGGTTAGCCTGCTGGACTTTTATTAATAACAAATATTTTATAAGTTAAATATCTTTAATAGAGCTCCCTGTTTTGGTGCCTAAAATACCTAAAATGGTTAAAAGAAAATTCATAATCTATAAGGACTCATTCCCATCATCAGCTGCATTATACCGTGTAAGAAGTTTAAAAGGGGAAACTAGTATTGATGCATCACACGGTTTAGTTTCTTTTTCTCAACTTTATTATGTCACAACATGATATTGCATTCATCTTTATCACAGCTGCGGATCACTGCATCGCAACATGCTGTGCTGAAAAAAAGTACAGCACATCCAATTTGTTTTTCAGTGCACATCATTACAGCTCAGAGGTGTCAATTGAACTAATAGGACACAAGATAAATTGTTCTGTCTGTATTGGGCATAATTGATCATTGCATCCCACCACATATGATGCGAACAGGGCCTGAAAGGTAATTCCAGATACTACATTGTTAAATAACAAAAAATAATTTTGGTTTACCATGTTGTAATAGATATGATGTTAACTAACTGAAATTATAAGAAGATATACAGTATATTTAATTCTACACCAGGAAGCCACTGCTCATTGTTATCTACAAAATCTCACGCTATGTTATCTTCAGCCAATCAAATCAGCAAAAAAGCACTTGTTTTCTAAAGCTATAGAAGTCACTTACATTGATTAATTGAATTTCAAAGAACCTAAAATAAAACCTAATATTTCTTCACAATCAAATTAGAGAAAGTGTGTGTGTGTGGTGTGTGTGGTGTGTGTGTGTGTGTGTGTGTGTCTACCCCACATTTGACGAAGTATAGGAGCAAGTCTCTATCAGTTTAGCATTATCACTCTATTTAGGGACAAGTCCATCCAAAAGCAATATTTTAGTTATAGGTGGAATCTAGTGATCTGACTTAGGCCCCATATCACCTTCTCTCCTCCTTTTTTAACCCCTTAAACCCTGCATTGCAATGCACATGTTGCCTGGCATCCCCATTCAGCTAAAGCAGGCAGGCCTTAGCTCCTGGATTTCTTAATTGTCAGCTGTAAGTTTTCTCTGCCATAATTCCCAGCCATTTCCGTCCACTCAGGAGGTATGCAAAAGTAAGAATTTGAGCACAGAAATACAGTTATCAAAAGATTAAAGAAAGTATCAGGTGGTTTAACTCTCCAGCATCAGTATCAAAATAAAGAACTATCAGTTTTGGTTGGACTGACATTTTAACTGTAAAACATTTAAAAATGAAACTGCATTAATATAGGAATAATCTAATGCGGTTTTAAATGTGGAGACAGGTTTGCTGGCCTAGAAAACTTCATTTGAATTAGTATGTCATGCAAAATATAGTCCACTGTAGTGATATAATTTCACATTCTCTGTAAGAAAAATTACTGATACATACACCTGTCATTATTACAAAGACCTCTGGTTAGTGTGGAAGGGATGTCATTTTCCAGTAATTGGGCAGGATAATCATGGCAGGTTTAGTACTTACTGTATTGTATTCTTCAACAACCTCTTTACCATCAGCTGACTGAGATGTCACTTTTAGCCTCCCAGGTGCTCCTACTTCTATCTGCTCTATCTGCCAGAAGAGGATAACGAGATATCATATGCAGGCATAATGACATACAAAGTAATCCCACACATAAGAATGAATCACTGAACAAGTCATATAATAAGTGAACAGGACTCTGTTTACTATCATACAGACAGTATTTTTGATGCCATCATTATGTAATTATCTCCACCTAGGAAGAACTCCTTCTTTCTACAATTAATGGTTAAAGACACACAATGCTCAATTTAGTTAAAACAAATGATGAACAATAAGAATGTAATACATTATATTTTCCCATGTGATGTTGAACATTTTCATAAAACATCAGCTAGGTGGGTGTACAAACATATATGGAGAAAAAGAGAGAATGAGACAGATAAAAAAAATAATAGAGAACAAAGAAACAGGGCTAGATATTTCAAACCAAACATATGCTGAAACAATTCTTAAACAGAGATTGATTACCTAGAATGAAATCCTTATATCATTCAGTAAATTCAGAGACATGAATACCAATGAATATATCTATTGACTTTTCCTGTAAAGTGTAGCTTGGTTTTGAACCCTCTACCTTCTGAGTTTCCTTATTAGTCAATAAGGCAACATTAAATGACCAATAGGTAGGTTTGGTTGGCTGAAAAGGGCAGGACCAAGCTTGACTTTTACAGGAAAAGTACAGTCACATAATTTAGCTATGTATATCTCTGAAACTACTACGTGCAAATTCCACTTTCCTATTATTGTGATAGTGAAACAATATGTATAAATAAAATTATTGCCAAAATATATAATGGGCTTGTTGCTAATCACTGAAATGTGTCCCCACCTCTAATAAAATGGGATAACGAAATACCAATAAGGGGGCAGTGCTACACCTTTTGGTTATTCATATCTCCAAAACTACGTATCATTGTGATATATACACATTGATTATGCCACTTTCATTATAGGCTCCATTTAAATTGCCCAGGTTTGTGAAATGCTAAGCGTAACAGCCTGAGTTGAACACTTTTAGGCTTGTGTCAATGCCATCAGTTTAAGATGCTTCTGACACCATTTGGGTGATCTGTAGTTGACCTCCTCCTAACCAGAATTTCACCTGCTTCAAGCCAGTTATGCATTCCCATAGTTTTGTATAGGAATGCAAAACCATTTCAACATAAACAAAAGCCCAGCAACACCCTATAAGTATAATTTGTATGTTTGACAGTTCATACGCAAATAGATACAGTATCTTTACAGCTGTTGTACAAAGCTAAGAATTTGGAAGTTACCTTTGTAGGCACAAATTCTTTAATGAACTTTACTCCATGCTCTTCCATGTGTTCACCAATTTTTGTTAGCGATTTCCTGGTCAAAACCTCTTAAGAGAATGGAGCGTACCATTACAGTGACATCCAAGCCAAGTCCTGCTAGAAACCCAGCACACTCTAATGCCACATAGGAGGCACCAACCACCAGAGTTTTTCCTGGGCAGTATGGCAAAGAAAAGAGGTCATCACTGAAATTAAACAGAAAAGATTACTGGTGTATGATGTAAAATAAAAAACACCACAATAAATGTTCACCTGAGAAGATTTTGGAATCCCATTAAAACTTCGGGTTGGTATCAATGTAATTTTCCAAAGTTAAAGTATATGTATAGTCACAACATTTTCTTTCCTTTAGAGTAAAAAAAGGGGTTAGAACCCCCCTTTTAAAATTTGACTGGCTGTCAGTGCCCCTGCTGGGATCATTCACCCTATTTGTCCTAGTGATCATGGTTACTGAGACAGAAAGTAAGTGGAAAACGAAAATGTAACATTTGTCACCAGAAGATGTCAGGGGTAATGTTTCCTGTAAGGACACTTCTTTCAGTAACAACTGCCTAAGAGGTGAATTCCCTCCACTTTGGAGAGATTTCCTGTTGCATCTCCAGGACAGAGAGTGAAAAGAAATCTCAACAGAACACAGACAGAAAGAATAAACTGTCAGGGTTTGTGACCTTTCCCTATTCTGAAATAAAATAAAAGTTTTGGCTATACATACACTGCTTTATGAACATATTAAAGGTTATATTGTATACACAAGTTATATCCTATATTTTCATTTATGTATAGACAATCACAGGGGTGGACTGACAACTCATGGGGCCCCTGGGCAATAGGGGATCATAGGGCCCAAATACCATAAAAATGTCACAATACTTTATATAGCCCGATATTTTACTTATCAAGTATTGCTCAGTACACATTGGATCACAAAAACATGTATGAAACAAAAAAATGGTCTTGGTTGGTACCTGGTAATACAGTGTTCCTTGTCTCCGGGTATACCAAGATAGCGTGGCCTTTCTCTGTAGCTATGAGAAATGTCTTAGCTGTATAATACTTCACTCTTCCTTTTGGATTTGTTGACTGCAGACAAAAGTGGTATTTTAAGGAAAACGTGAAATACATTTTTAAAAGATACCTATCATCAGATAGACGTGGAAGCTGCCATTTCTGACTTCCTTTTCTGCATATGTGTCCTGGGTCAGTGACTCAAGCAAAGGGGTCATCATGACAGCCAGACAACAAGCATTTTTATAAAAAACAGTGTGACAGTTCTAGGCCCTCCAATTCAATAAATAGAAGGGGAAAAATTAATTATATAAATTCCTAATAGACAATCCTATACCCACAGTTGATCTAGAGCAGCGGTTCTCAACCTGGGGGTCGCACCACCATTTCACAGGGGTCGCCTAAGACCATCGGAAAACACATATTTCCGATGGTCTTAGGAACCGAGACACCGCTCCTGTCTCAGGCGATCTGTGGGCGGGATGATATGCTGTCCCTGTAACCTGGCCACACCTCCGGGATCACTCAACAGCTCCGCCTCCTCGCCGCTGATTGGCCACCGGAACTGTAGCTTAGGAGAGGCACACAGGCGGCCAATCACCGGCGAGGAGGTGGAGCTTGGAGAGGAGGAGCCGAGCGGCAGCGCGCGGAGATCGAAGAAGATCGAGGGAGCTGCAGGAGCGAGTGAAGAGAGAGGCCAGAGAAGGAAGACAGCTGACAGGTAAGTGCAAATTTTGCTGCTGCAGCCAGGTATGCAGGCTGTAGATGGGAGAGAGCGAGCCCAGGCTGGAGCAGGAGTCAGCAAGGTAAGTATCATTGGCGTCAGTGGAAGGGATAGTGCCCCATCATTTGTGTCACTAATACCAACGAAGGGGCACTATTCCTCCCACTGACACCAACGATGGGGCACTATTCCTCCCCCCACTGACACCAACGATGGGGCACTATTCCTCCCCCCACTGACACCCACGATGGGGCACTATTCCTCCCCCCACTGACACCCACGATGGGGCACTATTCCTCCCACTGATGCCAATGATTGTACACTATTCCTCCCACTGACGCCAATGATGGGGCACTATTCCTCCCACTGATGCCAATGATTGTACACTATTCCTCCCACTGATGCCAATGATGGGGCACTATTCCCCCCACTGATGCCAATGATGGGGCACTATTCCCCCCACTGATGCTGACACTAATGACACCAATGATGGGGCACTATTCCCCCCCACTGACACCAATGATGGGGCACTATTCCCCCCACTGACACCAACGATGGGACACTATTCATCCCACTGCAAAATTACAGTTATGAAGTAGCAACGAAAATAATTTTATGGTTGGGGGTCACCACAACATGAGGAACTGTATTAAGGGGTCGCGGCATTAGAAAGGTTGAGAACCACTGATCTAGAGGAAGGCCAAAAACCTCAATAAAGCATGATCCTATTTGCCACAGCAGGGGAAGAAATTATTTTTTTGATCCCCCAAGAGGCAATCGAATATACTCTGGATCAACTTCACCTATGAATGTTATATCACTGTCATGACTTCTCTGTAAAGATGATATTCAACCGACAAGGAATTCTATGTTCAAATGCTTCTTCTCCTAAAATCTGTTGGGTGGGAATGTTGCTCACACAGATGAGATTATCTCTTAATCTGGACATGATACCATCATTCCATGTCCAAAAGGCACCTTTTCAGGGGCCAAAAACAGTTCTGTGAAAGAATAGCACATCGCTTCACTTCAACAGAGAAAAATACAGTATTAATTATTTTGTTTAGATATTATGTCTAGTTAGATACCCTGTGTTTATTGCTACATTACCATTGTGGAGATTTCTACAGATTTCCTGTCCCAGTGATATATTACAATGGCAATGGCCATAGGTAGGAGAATGTAATAGTTCAGAATGTGTGACCAGACCTTCAGATGCTTAAAATCTTATGCCTGACATGTACATCTACTGTGAATGGCAGTAATCAGAAGTGCCTGGTTTTTACTGTTCATCTCTACTTTACCAGCAAAATTAACAGAACATCAAATAAAACAATCCAATGCACACAACCGCTAGTGATGCCTATGGCTGTTTTCTGTATTAAACCAAAACGATTATCTATGCACCCTACACTGGGTGATTAATGCACAATAACACTGAAGTAAACCATATTGTGTGATAATCTCTAACTTTATATGGCAGGCATTATCCATAAGCCATTAACATATGTAATAATACAGCCTAATCTATTTATAAAAAGGGTGAAGAATTTAATACCTTAATCTTGTATGCTTCCACAAACTCTCCATAACCATTCTCATATTCCACATTGTTTTTCTATGAGTGACACCCTGTAGTTCCAGTTCAGAGAGCGAATGTGGTTTTGGATTGACTTCGTCATTATCTCCCATTTGTGTTGCACTGGTAATAGAAAAGCAAAACAGACATGTTTATATTGTATAAACAACTTATTATAAACTCAGAAATCCAATGTATATCGAAACTGAAATATATAATTAGAATTATTACTGTAAAATGTACCTGTAATATTTTTATGTGTTTTTCAATTGCTTGCTGTACCATATTTTTTGAAGATACAAGTTTGTAAATATTTCTACTATTGGTGCTCTCTATGTCAGACAGTGCAATCAGTGCGTTTACTAAATCGCTACTGATTAACGACTGCCCAATAAATAACAGGATACAATTCTATTACTTTCAGTGAATAAGTGTGATTCTCAGCTCAAATATAGACCAGATGCAAAAAAAAAAGCAGTTCTGCTAAGGACAACAAGCAAATACGGCTACTGAGGGGAGCAGCTATTGCTGGAATTGGAAGACAGACAGTAATAGTAACATTTTTTTATAGAAAAGGTCACGACTGTAGAGAGTTCCCATCACTTCCTGTCCTAACTGGTAGCAATAGGAAATCATTCCAATAGACCTGGAAGAAGTCCATCTCTTCTCCAAAAGTTAGAGTCTAAAGTGGGCCTTCAATTTATGTTTTGCATTTGTAGTAAGGTAACTTTGAAATATTTTACATGAATAATTATTATTTATCATTGACAGCCAACAGTTGGCACATTTTGAGGCTAACTGAGACTTTGTAAATAGCTGCTATTGTGAATACACCTGAACAGCAGGAAATCCTACCATTTTCCCTCTCTTGCTGCAGAGATAGGATAAATCTTGACAGAGATAGGATAATCCTAACTCATCCCTTCACAAAGGCAGAAAAAAGCAATCGGATTGTGCTGCCCTATCTGAATAGAAAGCCTGCATCCTCTGCAAACTATGGGTCATGGAAAGTTCCATGTAAAAAATGACTATAAACCATTAGAGTTTGACATTAATTAAAATGATATATTGTATACTGAACAGTTTTCCAAACTATTAAGTGGGTGCATAGAATTTTATAAAATAAAACGCTAGACTGATAAAAAGATAAAAAAGTGATAGTTTCTCAGAGTAGTATTCTGTCTAGAGCAGGGGTAGGCAACCTAAGCGGCTGATAGCGTTTCTCAGCCCAATGTCTCAACAATGGCCACAACAGTATTCTACCCCTGTCTAGAGACATAACCTGACAAGGATGAGTCCAAATCTGAACACTCCCCCCCCCCCCCCCCCCCCCCCCCCCAGCCCGCTGATTTGAAATTTACAAACCATGTGCCACAAATCAGGATAGTAGATTTACAAAATGGCAACACTCTATTTTTTTACTGCCAAATTAGTGAAGTGTAAAAAGAAATGATGCAGATAATTGCTTCAATCAATCTCTACAATTCTATGAATGTTCATGATATCATTGCCATTATCAATGTGGAAGCTTCCATAAATAACTATTGGATTCAGTAATTCTACCTTATGATGTAACTATTGATTTGCTATTAGTTATCACCTGTTAATGTGTAAGCTACGCAAGTAAAATATGCAGTACAGGCAAGTAGTCATGTAATATGACAATAAATCCATAATATATATAATGGGGGGCATCGCTTTTTTACTGTAAATTTTTAAATTGCAACCAACCCAGTGACACTCCAATGCAACAAACAATGAAGAAAGTGCAGTGACACAAAGCAACCAAAAACACAACTTTATTTAGTTAAGACAAATCAGTGAAAAATCGATTCTTGGCTTGTGGGTTACTGCAGCTTGCTCCTTATCCTAATACATTGTGGTTTACATGCAGTAGACATTTTAAAACAATGAGTATATCATTTTTAAACTTGATTGCCTCTTTACTACAATGAAAAATACATACTTATCATAGATGCACAGGAATGATGTTAACAAATTCAACACTTCTGTGTTTTATTGGCACGAGGAATGATTGGGCATTCAGTTAGTGGCATTTAAATGAATCCCTTCCCTCTCATCATGTTGTGCTGCCTCACTATGAGTAAGTGGAGCCAAGAGAATAAGTGCTGTTTAGGAACACTGCTTTATTAATGACATACCATTATCTTCAATTTGCCAGCCATATTTGTTTGAATCTTTTAAAGCCTGTCTCAATAGGGCTGCTTGATGCATTAGCTTCTTGGGAATGCAGCCCACATTTACGCATGTGCCTCCAAGACCTATAAAAAAAAAAAAAAAAAAAAAAAAAAAAAAAAAAAAAAAAAAAGAGTATAATACATTACTGGAATGCAAATTGAATGCAGATGATATATTTACTAAGAAAAAAATATCAAGAACTCGTGAAAGCTTACACCATGGTGCAGTGAACAAAGGTGTAGTGGAATGTGGGGGAAATAATCAGAGATTAGCTTTCTACACCATTCCAATAACATAATAATAAAATAATAATTTTTTGAACCAGGGGGGATGTGCTTATCCCTTTGCTCTCCTCTTTCCTCACTCTACGGTAACATTTCCTTCTTGCCAGATCCTCCGTCTCTAATATAATTGTCATAGACAGTTTCCTACCAACACATCCAGCCTTACCTAACCTCCACCCATCTTATCTCCACCTCCATCCCCGTTTTCTTCCCCTGAATATGATCTGACTCTTCCTTTTCCACATAGTTTAACGATATCCTAGGTAATGCGACCATAATTGTTATTATGTTTATCATTGTCATATGTCTACTGCAATACGACATGTGTATCCTGCATATTTATACACTGTTATGTATAATTGTACAATAACAGGTAGACCTATTTTTTGTACAAACTCTGAAGTGAGCAAAAATAAAGAAGAGCTAAATTCTGATTGGTTCCTAAATTCACAGCATAAGCATAACAGCAGCAACCACAAATAGAAATGGGCCTGTGCTATTATAATGCTAACATCCTAACTACTAGGGAATCTAATTAATGTTTTTACGTAAGATTCACACAACGTGCATCCAGGATTCACACATTTTTTTACCCGATTTGAAAAAATGTGTGAATTTTGTGTGAAAAACATTTGTAAATAGACCCCCTAATGTTCAACTAAACTCTGATTTGTTTTGTCATTTTATAGGTTTTCTAGATTTTCCCAGCAGATTTGTTTGGAAAATTATCTGGAATACTACAGATACACTTAGAAGGTGTGTATTATTAGCTAATGTTTAAATTGTCCTTTCCATCTTACCCCATTTGGTTCCTATAGGAGATGGGATGACGTAATCCAGTACCAACACTTTCTTGCCGTACTTTGCCGCTTCCTAAGTAGCAACAACAAATGTAAGATTTTGAACTGTTCTCCTCCTGAATATAGATACATATAGATTTTTTTTTACCTTAGAAGCTGCTAGACCTCCAGAGCCGCCACCAATAACGATAAGGTCAAAATCATAGGTGTCCTCTTTGGGTTTATCTTCCTTACCTTCCAGCAGTTTCTGGAAAAGACCATCCTTAGACAACTGAAAGATAAATAATGATAAATAATATACTGAAGATATCTGTGTGTGTGTGCAACAGTGAAGAGATAAAAACTGGGTAAATTAAATAGCACTGGTTAATGCAGTCGAACGTTGTCGAAAATCTGAAAAAGTCATTAAAGAAAAAAGAAGTATCACTTCTTCTGGGCTATGCTTCATAAAACTTATTTACACTAGACTTTTTGGTGAAACATTGTTAGAGATTCTGTATATAGTCCTACAGTGCACAGTCCACATGTGTTTATCTTCTGCTCCCCTGCAAACAGGAACGGTATTATAGAAAAAAGACAGAGTTTAACCATAGATGCAGCTACAAACTTAAAATGACTGCCATCAACTGGTTAAAGAATATATCTCTACTGAATACTGATGTAGCTGATGAACAAAAATACATGAACGCTGTATTCCAACAAGCATGCACGTGTAGTCACTTATGCAAATACAGGAGAAAATATAAAGTTATCCATAACAACCTTTCTTTGATGTCCAACTTCAGGCAAAAAGATTTTATTATGTGTCACTGACCCCATTGGAGAGATTGTATAGTCCTGACTGCACAGCAAACATAAGGCTTCTCACCAATAAATGCTTGTAGCAACAGAATGGAAATCCAAAGCTGACAGCAAGTCAACGGATTCTTTAGTTAAAAAAAACAAATTACATCATCCTTTGATCCACCCACTTGGGCCAGGTTCCCTTTACTAAGGTGCATGCAAACTCCTCATTTTGGAGATCTCACCTCATTTTGAGTCACAGAACAAGAAGACACAGAGAGTAATAATAGCTTGATGGAGGTTTCCTTCCTTACTGTGTCGCAAAACTTAAAAGAAAACATTTTGTCTAGAGTTAGACTGAGGAAGTAAGGCTAATATAGAAAAACTGTCTGTATTCCTTGAATATATTCTATAACCAAAGATTGATCAGTTTCCTTCAATTATTAATATTATGTAGAACAGTACAGAGTTTAGTTTTGGGTGGAATTTTGAAGTTATGATAATTTTTGATATGTACACTATAAGAGTATCAATCAAGAGAATCATTTTTTGGCAAGGCAGCTAATGTGCTATCAGCTCTGGCTGGTATTCTGTCTCCAGCTGGCCTCAATGAGGGGTTGCAGATAGCTACCATAATATAGCAAGTACATTAGTTTTGTGCTAGGTACTATCACTATCTACAGTATCTTTGGCATTATATACCACATGATGATTTCCCATTATAATCATCATATTGTCCTCCCTTACAGGTTCTTTTTTTTTCCCTCTTGTGGGTGGTCTACTCTCTACATTCTACATCTTGTGGGTGGAAATTTTTTAGTAAGTACTGGCTGAGAGATACATATGCAAAATGAATCAACTCTGGTCACCAATATCATCTACAATATGTATTTCTATAGAGGTTTTTGATATGTATACATTTATACATCAGCATCCATCTTTCACCACTTCACACCGACAAGTTGATGTGTGGGTGTGTATATATTTACACACAACAATGTAGTGTATGCTTTTATACACCAATTTCCATTATTCACCTCTCCACACCGACATGTCGGTTTATATATATATATATATATATATATATATGTATACAACATTTATCATATTCATGTTCATAAAGTTTAATATAAATCCATATCAGGTTGAAACATATCAGCCCACTTATTATACCGTTATATTATCTTCCACATTTTTATCTGCTTTATTTTAGTCATCCTATCATTCACAAACTATCTATCATCCATCCATTGTTTGTTGTTATCTACATTACTTATATTGTCTAATCAGGTCAATGTCATTTTTCTTCAATTGATGTTTTTTAAAAAAAAAAAAAAATCATTTAGGGTTAGCCTTATTTGCTCCCATGCATTGTTTTCTATATATGACTTCTTTATAACTGACCCTCCTTTCTTTATTATCCACATGTTTTTATTATATGACACCAAAACAGACACCATTCTGTTGTCATTTGTCTATTGTTCCCTTCATGTTCTCTATTCCCTGCCTCCCGTCCTGTCTATCACTCCCCTCTGCTTCATATAAGGCTCCTGTTTGCTATTGTTCTCCCAATGCTTGAAGAAGGAGCGCGCTGGTCCACATCAGACCCTGTGCATTCTCAGAAATGCGTTGCATGCCTATGACGTCAGATGCCAATGCCACCACTCTGGACTTTCCAGTGACCTGCCAGGCTTTCCCATCAGGCGCTCCTCCATCTCTCCAGTGCTCCTTGCCGACTAGCCGGCATCCTCTCTCTCTGTGGTTCCAGTATCTGGCGATGAGGTGCTCTGCACACTTAACCTAAATGAGCCGGTCTGTCATTTCAGATATGCGAGTTATTATTATTATACAGTATTTATAAAGTGCCCATAGTTCGCTCAGCGCTGTACATTACAAAAGGGGGACAGAACATGTGACAGAACAATACCAATACAATGCAAAACATGAGGGGATTGAGGGCCCAGCTCTTTCGAGCTTACAATCTAGGAGTTGATAAACTTACTGTTTTAATCATTAAAGCTGCCAAACAGTCTACACTTAGAGGTGCTGTGTTTGTCTCCTTGTTTTTCTACTTTAGAGTTTTTGCTTCACTCTACCACAGCTTGCCCTGGTATTTTAGACTGTCCATCCTTCTGTCAGATTTTGGATCCCATATCCATCTATTTAAAAGACTATGTGGACTGCCTATTCCATGCGCCTGATATTCCTTTGATATATCTGTTTACACCTATTGGTGGCAGGTGGGTACCAAAGGAGTCCAGTTTTCTTGACCATCAGAAACCACTACTTTGAAGAGCTGCAACATTTTGCTGCTTATGCCTTCAAAGCTACCCCCAATGCTGAAGGAGATATGGTTAGGTATCACCATAGCAAGAAGTCACACGCTCATACTACATGGATACTAGCATGCATGTCTTGTGTGCCATATTAAGAGCATCAAGAACAGATGTGCAAACTATAACAGAAAAACCCTCACAGTGGCAATCTAGTGTGAAAAAATAAGAAATGCAAGCTGTAAAGTAGAAAGATTCACTACTTCAACCAGATATATGCACCAAGTAAAAGTTATTGGTGAGCGTTGCTGTGGAAATTTCCCTTTTGTCAATGTTGGCACAGGGGTATGAAATAAGGTGAAATCATCCCAATGGGGTAACACACACCAATAGAAATAAAGGTTCTAATTCTTCCCTACTTTTTTCAAAATAATACACTATTTAAAAGTAGTGTGCATATTTGCTAACAAATGAGAGGCTTGCCTAATGCTTAATAAGATGTCACACAACAGTATTTAATTATATCAGTCTCTCTAACTGGATCAGATGGGCTCACAATATATGCAAGGAAGCATGAGTTTATTTTCTAACTCATCTTCCGGTTCTGCTTTTTTAAGCTGGCACATCCAGGAAAATCCTATCACCTTACGCATCACTTTCCAAACTGAAGAAACCTCTCCTGTTTTTTAGGTGTGTCAACAGTATGACTGTACTGATTAGAAATCAGCTAGAATGTTGTTCCATTGCAGATAGGATATGCAAATCAAGTTATCAGTACCGTCTTTCCTTAAAGCATTCACGTGAACAGATTTAATCAAATGACAATAGTAATTAAAATGTCTATTTGCAAGTACTAGCATTTGGTACAGATTATGTTAATATTTCCTACAGTTTAGTTCAAAGAGGTGACCAGCTTGGCAGACTGGCTAATGTTCTTTATAAAATGTAGCTATTCTTGGCTTACTTTGTGTGCCCTTTGTTAAATCTAACAGTAGTATCTGAGAACAAGCTGTTAGCGTGCTGTTTATGCAGACATGGGTGTACTAACCATTCTCACATACTATACAGGTAATTAGTAGTTCTTCCACTAGGTGGCAGGGTTTAATGCTTGTTTACCCCCTTGGTGCCTAGGCCAATTTTCAGCTTTCAGAGCTGTCACACTTTGAATGACAAATGCACGGTCACGCAACACTGTACCTAAAATAAATTTTTATCATTTTTTTTCCACACAAATACAGCTTTCTTTTGGTTGTATTTAATTACCACTGGGGTTTTTATGTTTTGCAAAACAAATGAAAAAAGACCAAACATTTTGAAAAAAAAAGTTCCTTAGTTTCTATTAAAAAATTTTGCAGACAGGTAATTGTTTTCCTTCACTGATACTGTATGTGCTGGTGTGGCTGTGCTGATGGGCACTGATAGGCAACACTGATGGGCACTGATGAGGTAGCCCTGATAGGCAGCACTGATGAGGCAGCACTGGTGGAAATTGATGAGGAGGCACTGATGAGGCTGCACTGATATGCGGCACTGATGGGCACTGATAGGCAGCACTGAAGGGAACTAATAGTCAGCATTGAAGGGCACTGATAGGTGGCACTGACTGGCAGCACTGATGAGCACAGATTGGCAGCACTGGTTGGCAATGACTGGCAGCACTGTTTAGCACTGATTAGAGGCACTGATTGGCATTGATAGGCAGCACTGATGGGCACTGTTGGGGCTGCACTGATATTCAGGGCACTGATAATCAGTGCCCTAATTATCAGTATAGATGTCTCCAGTCACATTTGCTGTGACAGCGTGAGGAAAGTCCTGCCGATAACCAGCAAGTATGTTTACATCGTGATCAGCTGTGATTGGACAGAGCTGAACAAGTGGTAAATGGCCGCTGTGATTGGTCCTTTACCATGGCATGTAATCAGCTGTGTTCAAAGAACACAGCGATCACAGAGAGCGCCGAGTGTGCACCGCAGCAGGTGTGGTTCTGGAAAGACATATGAAACTCTCCCAGAACTGGATGACCGCGCTGTAGCTGTCATTCAGCTATAGCGCGGTAAGCAAGTGGTTAATGTATTGTTTTTCGTAGTGGAAATACATGGTTATGATGTACTTTCCTATTTCTGATGTCTCCAATAAAACAAGAAGACACAGCTATGTGCCCAGCATCATTTGACTGGTAAGAGACATATCTGCAGCAGCTTTCTATCCAACAGTAGTCTCCAGTACAAAGTACTGTAGATCTAAACACTTACTGGATGTCATTAAGTTTGCTAAAGCACTGTGTATCATAGACAATTGCAACAATGGTGGACCATGGCTGTGTAACTTTGTAGCAATGATTACTTTTAGCCCCCCCCCCCACCCTCAGGGGCACATGTGAAAGGGTGCACCATTAGAAAACAATGCACTGTGGCAATAACGTACTAACACTAAAATTTAGCCTTATTGTTAAACTATTGTACACTTCACTGCAATCAGGGCATATTGTTTGCGGTACATTCAAGTAATCTGTTACGCCTGTCAGGTGCTGCAAATTTAAAGTAATTATTCCGGATGATGCTAAAGAATACACATACAAATAAGATTACATGTCATTACAAGTTACTTTGCTTTGAATGTCTAGTCCCCACTTAAGAAACTACTTGTGCAGCACATATCAGCAAATTGTTATAATAAGGTGAATATATAAAATCATAAAATGAAAAATGTATGTGCTCTCCATAGCAACCAATAAGATTTTAGCAGTCATTATCCGCTAAAGGAGGTTAGAAAATATAATTTGGAAAGCTGAAATCTGATTTCATTGTTTACTGAGACAAGGCTTTCCACTGCATTCTCCATAGCTGAGAATACTGAATTCAGTTACTGGGGCCTAAATGTCTTGCTAGGCTTAAATCTAAAGATAGCAGAATTGTGGTAGAGAAAAATATCTTTAAAATATGATAATATATTGGTTTAGCAATATACTTGACCTTTCCATTTAGAGTTTTGCAGCTTCCACTCTATATTGCCCGTGCATTACACTGTATGTTCATATCAACCAGTTTCTGGCAGTTGGACCTAAATGCTACACCCACTTACCTACAGCTTAACTCCAGGTAAACTAAATACACCACTAAAATACAGATATGGTTGTTGTTTTACCTGTCAAAGAATTTGTAATTTTGTCCATCCAGTCCTGGGACTTATACATACAGCCTGACAGACAACAGATCCAGTTTGGTGACCTGACTTTTCTCTATTGCATTTGCAGTGAAGAAATAGCAACAGACTGAAAAGGAGTGCTGTTATACAGAGGCTAACATCAAATCATATTCAGATTCCTGTGTCTATAATATCTGCATTCATTAAATTATTTTTAGGGACACAAGAGCACATTAACTATTGTACTCCTGTGACTGGGACATAGCTGTTCTAGGCTCAGGAAGGATCCTAACAATATTGTCAGGATTCTCCCAGCTGCCTAATTGACAGCTGGCTTCAGTATTCAGCATGCGGCTGAGAGCCAGAACCAGCTGCACCCACCCTAGCCTGGGGCTCCAGTGAGCGCTGGATGAGTAGATTGGGGTACATTGACTGATAGTCACTGTTCTCTGCTCCAAGAAGACTGAGAACTGATCAATCAGCAATCACGTGATCACTCAGCTCCTGGTCCTAAAGCCAGCATGGGACAGCTACAGTGTTACACCAATGTTGCAGAATGAAGGTGAGTATGTATGTTTATTTTGAGTAATTCCTTTAAAGAAGAAGTACATCCAAAGCTCTTTTGGCTGTATTTCTCCTGTGGATCAGACAGCAGTGACTGACAGTCATCGCTCTCTGCTCAGAGTGGCTGTGAGAACTCAGATCAGTGGTAATGTGATCACTGGGTTCTCACCCTTAGAGCTGGGGACAGATGCATAGATCTTATAGAAGAAATTGAAAATCTGAATGCAAATTAATACATATATGTAAATTCTGTTTACTCCTGCTAACATTCAATATTTTTAATGCCTAGTTGTAGAACATACAGCTTCTGGCATTATGTGTTTAAAAATGCACATTGTTTTTCTTTTTCCTATATGCAAGTCTACAGAACATGAGAAACGGGTCAAACGTATGAGTAAAACATCCTTTAAACCTAATTATGTGGATCATAAAATTATATTTTGCTCCTGATATATACAGCCTAACATTTACAAAGAGGTGATTAACATTAGATGGTGGCTGTTAGACAACCATCAAATTAATGAAGAATCCCATGTGCATCATCATAACGAAACATTATATTTTACATTCATAAAGGTAGATAACATGATAAATGAGAGGGAGTTTCTATCTAACCTGAGGGCCCTGAGGTTGTTTGTTGAAATTCTTTTAATCAGATTTCCAGTTTTGGAAGACTGCACCTAAATTTCAAATTAAAGATGACCATAATCTAAAGAGACAGTATGATGGCTAAACAGTTATCCCCGTGGTGGTATGTATGGAGTACAAATGGGGAAGCATTGATTTGTACAGTGGCAGCGATCTCTAGCAGTCTCATGTAATGTTTCTTCAGTCTCCTGAACCATGTCCACAGTCTCCGACAACCCATATAGCATGTCTTCAGTGTCTGATCATCTTCTGCAGCAGATCTGCAGTCTGAGAGATTTCTTTAATGTTAGATTACTTGAATATTATGCGTGGCACTTTGGTGATTTTAGGGGCTGCCTTTGAAGCCCCTTAAATCAAGTGAATTTACCACCACTATATTAGAACCTCTGGCAGATTTTTATTGATGTTTGTGTCTCTGTTGGGGACATTTCTCTGTTTGCTCTGGTTACCATTGTCACTGGGACTGAAAGTGAGAGATCATCCAAAATTTTAAAGTAGTTCTAAAGCATTAATGTTTTTTACCTAAATGCAGTATCTGCAGTAAGGTAAAAAAAAACTTTCTGTGTAGGTGACTTCCCACAGCTCCTCTACACTTACCTTAGCCCGTTCTCAATCCAGCACTGTGCCCGAGAGCAGTGTCTCTTTCCCTCCTCACAGGGCAGCTTGGTAATAGCAGGAGCCATTGACTCCCGCTGCTGTCAATCAAAATTATGTGATGAGGAAGCAAGGGGTGGGGCAATAGACACAGACAGGGCAGCTCAGGATTGAGCCTGCACAAGTGCGCCTGAAAAGCTGCTCGTCCTGGGGGCACCGCTACATGCTTGCCCCCGAGCTGCTGCTTTATGTATCCATAAGACACATGGGCTCCCACTGCGGTCTCCACCAACGAGGAGGAAGAGTCCCCACACAGCAGAGGCTGTTGTGAACTTTGCTGGATTGAGAGGGGCTCAGGAAAGGATTTGGGGGGGGGGGGGGGGGGCTGGGGGGGGGCCGCTGCACATAAAAAGTTTTTTACCTTAATGCATAGAATACATGAAGGTAAAAAACCTTGAGCCTTTAGGATCACTTTAACCATTCCATATTCCATTCAAAACTCAAAAAAGGTTTTTGCTTCAGGTATATTTTAAAGGACCACTTCTACACAGCTTGTGTATGTTCTCCATATTTTTCTTTGGGCACTCTGGTTATTTTCCACAACCCAAAATCTTACTGGAACATTAACAAGCATCTGTCCTAAATGAAGTGAAGTGAACATTTAACTGTGGGGTGGAGACTCGTGTGAGACGTTCAATGAATATTACATTGGTGCTATATAAATTAATATACTTAGTAAATTAATTCAACGTAAACTGATATTCCTTCCTGCCAACTACTCAACAATTATTCTATAACCCTGCCTACTCCATTTTAGAGGATGGGACATATACTGGCAATGATGCCACAAACACAAACAAAAACGCTTTATTTTTGAAAAACTCCTGAACATACTTACATTGTCTTTATTTGTTAGCCAAGGGATCTTCCAAGTGAGGAATAAATTCTCATGGGGGTGTTTAGGTTAAAATTGTCATACTTATTGTTCTTTTGAAAAAATCCAAGTAATAAGATTATAAAAAAGAAAAAAGGGAACTGAAAGCTTTATGCCTTAAGTTACTCTTGTCTTGTTAATGTGTCAATGCAATACATATCAGACATAATATATTGTTCATATGTCTTCATATCAAATCAACATAAACAAAATTTTGCATACTAATAAAGCAAATGTGACTGTGATAAAAGTTCCATAGGAGTTCACAAGTTTTCACAAAAACTCTTTGCAAATATATATACTGTATCTGCCACATAGAACTATACCAAGGCACAAATACAGATGCTTTTCAACATGAGAAATCTTACAGTGTAACGTATCCATACCTGAATAACTTGATCGTAGCCACCTATAAGTTTCTCCTTCACAAAAACGTTAGGTAAGGCCGTTTCCATGGTATAGTCATAAAAAGTTCTTCTTCAAGTATCAGTCCTGAGTCTGTGAAGAAATCATAGGTGAGCACTACATTTATAAACTGACAGGATGAGCCAAACAGGGAGGGACACGGAACTTTCACAACCTTATTATCACTTCCTTCCTACACATCTAATGATTCCTCACCAAATGTGTCATTAATTGTGACTTGCAAATCTCACAAGAAACAGGGAAGAGAATTCGACTTTCAAAGGACTTGGCAGGGGATTGAAAATATATCTGAAGAGGAAGTCCTGTATTCATTCTTTAATATTGGTGTAAATATTACAAAAACTGTTCTTCCTTTCACTTTCACTAAACTTTGGAATATCCCCACCTGAGCTAATGCTCGTTGCTTATTCTTTTTATATCAGACTTATAACAAACCCATGCACAGTGTACAGTTCCTATAGTCTTAAAGTGATATTAAAAAAAAAAAATTTTAAATAACAAACATGTTATACTTACCTGCTCTGTGCAGTGGTTTTGATCTGATCCAGAGAAGACAGGGAACCCCAGAAGAGGAAAATCACTCTTCTGGGGTTCCCCATCTTCTCTGGATCAGACCTGCACAATATTCAGGAGCAATTTTTGACCATTCCTCTTTACAAAACTGCTTCAGCTTGGACACATATGTAGGATATCTTGTGTGAACTGTTCACTTGGGACCAGTCCACAACATCTCTATGGGATTAAGGTCTGGGCTCTGACTGGGCCACTCCAAAAGGTAATTTTATTTTTCTGAAGCCAGTCTGTGATGAATTTACTTCAGTGTTTAGGGTCATTGTTCTGCTGCATCATTCAACTTCTACTAAGCTTCAGCTGGCAGACAGACACCCTGGCATTATCTTTTAGGATATTTTGGTAAACTGGGGAATTTACTTTCCCCTCAATGATGGCAAGTGGTTTAGGCCCTAAGGCAGTGATGTCCCTCCACCATACTTCACCATTGGGATGATGTTCTAATATTGTTAAGCTGTACCCTTTTTGTGCCATACATAGTGATGAGTATTCTTCCCGAACAATTCAACATTTGTTTCATCAGTCCACAAAACATCTTTCCAGTAGTGTTTTAGGTTGCCAAGGTGCACAGCAATTTTTTATATGGAGAGCAGCAGCTTCCTCCGTGGTGTTCTGCCATGGACACCCTGCCTGTTCATAGACTTACATATGGTAGACTCATGAATAGGGATGTTTGCCAGTACCAGTAATGTCTTCAAGCCTTTAGCTGTTACTCATGGGTTCTTCTTTACCTCAATCAGGGCTTCGACATTGTGTCTTGGGTGTCATCTTGACTGGGTGCCCACTTCTAGGAAGAGTAACTACAATACTAAACTCTTTCCATTTACAGACAATTTATTTAACTGTTGACTGGTGGATGCCTAAACACTTTGAGATTTATATTCCTTTACAGCCTTATGTAAATCAACTATCCTCGATTGCATGTCTTCAGAGAGCTCCTTTTTTACAAGGCATGGTTCACTGATGCTTCTTATAAAAAGCAATCTTAAAATATTTGAGTGTCTTTTATCACTCAAAGTAGCCACGTCTCCAAGCTCATTCATTAATTGGACTCAAGTGTGCAAACTACTGACTCCAATTACCCCCTGGGTTCACTTACTTTTTCCTCCAGCACTGTGAATGTTTAATGGATGTATTAAAAAAAAGACATGGGAAACTAGATGTATGGGCCCAGAGTTGGTAATCTTTAATTACACAGTAAGCAATTGCATCAACAAAAATGTACAAACTCCACATAAACGGCAATAATGAAGAATCAGCTAGACTGTGCTGGCAGGTAGGGCAGCAATCTGCTGCCTATTATTATTACATACAGAATCAGAAATCTGGTGTGTATACCCTCTCATGTCTCTCAGTCTGTCTTCACCTGTTTCTGATCTGTTCTGAGCGTTTGCTCTAAAAGGACACCAGTGCTGGTGCATCTGTTTGAGTTAGGGTTTACTGTATGTAAAGCATGTTGGTCCAGGTGATAATTCCTCTGTTCCTGTCTTTCTGCTGTGTACTGGCATTTTGTCTGCCTATCTGTGGTTATTCAGCTAGGCAGTCTCATGGTCTACATGTGGGGAACTCTCCAGCCACAATCCTTTGGTATCCTCAACAGCTCTGACAAAGACCAGACACTCCAGACCTTAGCCTATGTTGGCTATGCACAAATTCACCCCAAATATAGTGCCAAAGCTGATTAGTTAAAAAAAATAGGAGAAAGTACAATGATGCATACCCTGTATCATTACAGTTTATGAAGAGGGAGCGGGCTTAGAAAGTGGTTGGAGGCTAGGAAGAAAGAGGGCATTTATAAAAACGTGCCTGGACTGAAAAACCAAGCAATTTATGTTTGCTGATTAATTACCATGTAAAATTGTAGGCAACATAAAAATTGTGCTTTTTAAAGAATGGATATTTCCAAAATATAGCACAACATGGAAATGGACCATAATTCAACCTGTTTAGGTTGAATACATTTTGTGTAGCCAGGTGCTGGCTATATCATTATGCCTTTCAGGGAAATTTCCAGATGGGACAATGATTAATTCTAGTGCACAGTAATGGGACTGCTACATCACTTCCTGTTAGAGTGGATCCTAGTCCTATAGCCAATACATACTGTGCTGATTGAACTACAACTACCAGAGAGATGATGAACCAGAAGGATGCTGGGAGAGGAGACATATTCTACAACAATGGACTGCCTGTCTCGTTGTGGGATTCAGAGCTGAAAACAGGGGGACTGCTGTTCTCCTCCAGAGACAAATTGTTGTCCTACTGCTGTGGGACTCTGCACATCAGTTCAGCACAGCAGTGACACCGATTGCCGCACCTGGATCGCATCAGCTTCTCTGCATCTGGACTATCACTGTGCGGTCTTCACACAGACATCTCTGCTTGCTGAGCTGACAGGCTCTCAGGCGGTAACTCTGCACATCCCTGCAAACAGCCAAGAGCCTGGGCGAGAACTCTTGTTTCTAGGAGGCCGTGCTATCCACAGGATTGGTAAGTGGGCTGATGACAACATTCTAGAGACACTGCATGCAGACACCTTTACACCTCAGTACCAAGATATCTTTGCCTGTTACCTTCATTGAATTACTATTACCCACTACTGTACTGTATATGGGCCCAACCATTGCTAGCAGAAGATAACAGCTACTATCACATCAGGAACTACAAACATTTGTGAAAAAAAATGGGCCGCTTTCAGGAGATCAGTGAATTCAAGCATGGTATTGTAATAGGTTGCCACCGGTGCAATAAGTGAAATTTCCTTGCTACTAAATATTCCACGGTCAACTGTTAGTGGTATTATAACAAAAGTGGAAGCAACTGGGAACAACAGCAACTCATCCACAAAGTGGTGGGCCATGTAAAATGACAAAGCGGGGTCAGCGCATGCTGAAGCTCAGTGTGCAGAAGTCGCCAGCTGTCTGCAGAGTAAATAGCTAAAGACCTCCAAATTTCAAGTGACCTTCAGATTAGCACAAAAACGGTGTGTAGAGAGCTTCATGGAATGGGTTTCAGTGGCCAAGCAATTGCATCCAAGCCTTACATCACCAAGTGCAATGCAAAGATTTGAATGCAGCGGTGTATAGTCACTGGACTCTAGAGTAGTGGAGACATGTTCTCTGGAGTGACTAATCCCACTTCTCTGTCTGGCAATCCAATGTACATGTCTCGGTTTGGTGATGGCCAGGAGAACGGTACTTGCCTGACTACATTGTGTCAAGTGTAAAGTTTGGTGGAGGCAGAATTATGGTGTGGGGTTGGTTTTCAGGGGTTTGGCTTGGCCCCTTAGTTCCAGTGAAGGGAACTCTTAAGGCATCAGCATACCAAGACATTTTGGACAATTTTATGCTCCCAAATTTGTGGGAACAGTTTGGGTACGGCCCCTTCCTGCTCCAACATGACTGTGCACCAGTGCACAAAGCAAGGTCCATGAAGACATGGATGAGTGAGTGTGGGGGAACTTGACTGGCCTGTACAGAGTCCTGACCTCGACCCAATAGAACACTTTTGGGATGAAGCAGAGACTGCGAGCCAGGCCTTCTCGTCCGACATCAGTGCCTGACTTCACAAATGCGATTCTGGAAGAATGGTCAAACATGCCCATATACACACTTCTAAATCTTGTGGACAACCTTCCCAGAAGAGTTGAAGCTGTGATAGCTGCAAAGGGTGCTCCAACTCAATATTGAATCCTACGGACTAAGACTGGGATGCCACTAAAGTTCATACGCGCGTGTAAAGGATAGCGTCCCAATACTTTTGGCAATATAGTGTGTGTGTGTGTGTGTGTATGTACTGTATATATATTTTATATACATAATTCTTTGCATTCCCTATTGTAACGCCAGAGGCCCAGAGGGAGCTCATAGGTCAACAAGCCTTTACTTCCCCTCCTGCTGCTGGTGTTGCAGTTACGCATTTACAATTTACCATTTGTTTTGCTTTTATGGACTAACTGAGGATGTACTTCCTAAACATTCATTCTGTGATCTACTCTTTTGAACACGTCTAATATAGAGGTTACTAAAGAATTGTGTCTCTTGCATTATTATTTCATACTGTCTGAGCCCAGAGTATTAGAGGTGTTGGGAGGGTTGCAAGGTCAGGGCAACCACTGGGGGCAGGCATTATCAAGTAGCTCCTGTGGGGGTGACGCTGCAGCTTAGTGTTTTTTATTGTTGTTTAGCTGTGTTGATAAACACAAATTGTTCCACTGTCCTCTAGAGAGAACACATTTTTTTCATATCTCCGTTTTTATAACTCTGCTCAGAGTGACACTTGGGTCTCCTTGGATATAACTATCTATTGATTGTTAGACTGATTCCATTATGGTAGCTTGATTTTAGTATTGATTTCTGTTTCACTAGATATAATGCAGTCTATAGATGTTTGTTATAGATAGAAATTTATTTTAATCCCAACCGGTTTAACATGCACATAATCAAATGAAGAAGAGATATAATTAGCTTTAGGAAAAAGTATTGGTAGTAGCACTTGCTTGCTTCA